GATAAACTAACAAACAATCAGAAAAGACAAACATTGCAAAATAGAAAAGTACATATACTTCTACAAATAATGCGACAAAGCTAAACTATAGACATTTGACTTATATCAATCACCTGTCGTAACTAAGAAAGTTGATTTACCAAATGTTTTTGAATTGAGAATAGCAAGTTGAGGGGTGTATACTTTGGGATTGAAGGTTCTTAATTTATTGATTACAATCAAGTAAAATATAACTAGGATTCGATTGCTTTATTTGTAGAAAAATTTGAGATCAAACTTTGTGCAAACTCCAAGGTATATAATATAATGCAATCAAAATTAGAGCAACACAATTTTACTTGTGTGATTGATTTGAATAAAAGTTCTCAATTTAAATATAAACTTAAATTTTTTTTATGTATTTTGTGAATGTATCTCTTATATTTAACGATCTAAATTAATTTATACACTAAAGTATTTGTATTCAAAATTTGATTGCAAATTTTTAAGATCAAACTCTGAATAAGTTAAAAGACAAATGTTGTTTCTAAATCTTATTTGTAGATTCACTAGCGATACCCCGTAACTGAAATCACTGTATACTAAATTATGATATTATGTAAAGGTGACAATTTTAACCCATTATCAATTAATCCGTCCATAATTTAATGGGTTGGGTAATATCATTCATTTTAATTAAGCGGATTAATATGAAGTAAAAATGGGTATCCATTGGGTTGAGTATTTATCTTTTTATTAAATAACGCAAGTAATAAAATTAAATAAATATACTAATATATCAAAAAATACACACACTATTACATCAAAAAATACACACATATACACTAATACATCAAAATATACACACACTAGTACACAAAAAACACACACTAATGCATCACCCACGACCCTTAGGTTGACCCATAACCCATGGGCTGACCCGTAACCCACAGATTGACCCACGATCCTATGGGTTGACTCATAACCCATAGCCCACAATTATTTCGACCCATTATTTGTTTATTTTTTTTATTAAACGTATTTTAGTTTTTGTGTTAAAATATGTGTGTGTATTAGTGTATATTTTAGTTTGTATATTTTTAGTGTATTAGTTTGTGTGTGTTTTGGTGTATTAGTGTGTGTGTGTTTTGAAGTACTAATATGTTAATTAAGAATTTTAATTATTTTATGAGTTAATCGGTTTAACCCAACCAGTTATAAACCTAACCCAACCCATTATAACTCATTTCCTACATGAGTGAAAAATAGATTGAATTTATTTTAGCCTAATTCAATTTAACCCAACTCATAACCAACCCAACCCACCCATTTACCACCTCTAATATTATGCGTGTATTAAAGTGTGTGTACAATTTGAGTGTGTATATATAATGACTGTGTGTTAGATTCTACATAACTGTATGTTGTAGAGTGTTTGCGTTGAGTTTATAAAATTTGGGAGGGAAAGTGTGTGATGGATGTGTTAAATTTAGGAGAAAAAATACACTCCTCACAAATTCAAAAACCTAACTATTTTATTATATAGATATTTGAGTTTTTTCAAAATTTCTTGTAATGTGTTAAAAGCGAGAAATACCGATGAAAATTTTGATTTTTAATTTCTTATTTTAGGGTTTGTACACATTGATCAATTTTTTTTTTGTTCAATGATCAAGATTGTTCGATTAAGTTACGAGTATTTTAATTAATTTTTTTGATCTGATTAAAGACAAATTATTCATGTTAAAATTAAAATATTTATAAAAAATAAATTACTTATAACCTAATTCTAAAGAATTATCAATATTTAAATCCAAAATTAAATCCAAAATGTGTTAATGTATGCCTCATATATGTTACTTATAATTCTGCCACGGGGCGGACAAATGCTTTTGAAGTATTATCTCTCCTCCAACTGACACGTAGCAAAGCCAAGGCATTATGCATTACACGTGGGGCCGTTCCATTGGTCCAAGCCAGAGAACCGGTGCGCTGACGTGGACGTCGCTGTCAGATAGCTCCCCAGAGGACACCAAAAAGAAGTGGGTGTAGTGATGGCCTAATCACTTCGTGACAAGCCTTGATTAAAGCGCTCTTACACAGTTGCCCCTACTTTGTCCCCATATTACCATACTGCCACTGTTTGTCCTCTGACTACTAACCCAGGCGGGAAGTTCCCGCGAGCCTATCATTATCTAATTCCGATACTGACCCTACCTCACACATTTATTACAAGCATACCTATTTTTGTCCGAGTAATACAATATCAACTTAAAAAATAGATTTTAAAATTAAATTTAATACACAACTATTGATTTTACTATTTGTTCCAATATTTATTATGACCAATTATCTAGTCAATAGTTGTAATTTTAAGTCTATTTTTTAATTCTAATTTTTAAGTTTATGTAATATTTCTCTTTTTATTCTGTTCACTTTGTTGTTCCATTGGTCGGAACAGATAACATTAACACAAGCTATTAAAAGGACAACCCCATTGAACCATAGGTTATATGGGATAACTCAAGTCAATTTGAAGCCTAAAATAAAAATATTAAATGAAGACTTTTTTATTTTTAGTATTATTTTTAAGAAAATTAATTTATTTTTAATTTTTTATATGAGAGGGAACACAAAAGAATGATGTGTTAGTATTGTAGAGAAAAAAATTTTAATTTTTTTTTTATTTTTTACCACGGAAAGGGAGAGAGAATGTTTAATTTCAACTTTTGTTTTTGTTTTCTATTNAGTGAAAAATAGATTGAATTTATTTTAGCCTAATTCAATTTAACCCAACTCATAACCAACCCAACCCACCCATTTACCACCTCTAATATTATGCGTGTATTAAAGTGTGTGTACAATTTGAGTGTGTATATATAATGACTGTGTGTTAGATTCTACATAACTGTATGTTGTAGAGTGTTTGCGTTGAGTTTATAAAATTTGGGAGGGAAAGTGTGTGATGGATGTGTTAAATTTAGGAGAAAAAATACACTCCTCACAAATTCAAAAACCTAACTATTTTATTATATAGATATTTGAGTTTTTTCAAAATTTCTTGTAATGTGTTAAAAGCGAGAAATACCGATGAAAATTTTGATTTTTAATTTCTTATTTTAGGGTTTGTACACATTGATCAATTTTTTTTTTGTTCAATGATCAAGATTGTTCGATTAAGTTACGAGTATTTTAATTAATTTTTTTGATCTGATTAAAGACAAATTATTCATGTTAAAATTAAAATATTTATAAAAAATAAATTACTTATAACCTAATTCTAAAGAATTATCAATATTTAAATCCAAAATTAAATCCAAAATGTGTTAATGTATGCCTCATATATGTTACTTATAATTCTGCCACGGGGCGGACAAATGCTTTTGAAGTATTATCTCTCCTCCAACTGACACGTAGCAAAGCCAAGGCATTATGCATTACACGTGGGGCCGTTCCATTGGTCCAAGCCAGAGAACCGGTGCGCTGACGTGGACGTCGCTGTCAGATAGCTCCCCAGAGGACACCAAAAAGAAGTGGGTGTAGTGATGGCCTAATCACTTCGTGACAAGCCTTGATTAAAGCGCTCTTACACAGTTGCCCCTACTTTGTCCCCATATTACCATACTGCCACTGTTTGTCCTCTGACTACTAACCCAGGCGGGAAGTTCCCGCGAGCCTATCATTATCTAATTCCGATACTGACCCTACCTCACACATTTATTACAAGCATACCTATTTTTGTCCGAGTAATACAATATCAACTTAAAAAATAGATTTTAAAATTAAATTTAATACACAACTATTGATTTTACTATTTGTTCCAATATTTATTATGACCAATTATCTAGTCAATAGTTGTAATTTTAAGTCTATTTTTTAATTCTAATTTTTAAGTTTATGTAATATTTCTCTTTTTATTCTGTTCACTTTGTTGTTCCATTGGTCGGAACAGATAACATTAACACAAGCTATTAAAAGGACAACCCCATTGAACCATAGGTTATATGGGATAACTCAAGTCAATTTGAAGCCTAAAATAAAAATATTAAATGAAGACTTTTTTATTTTTAGTATTATTTTTAAGAAAATTAATTTATTTTTAATTTTTTATATGAGAGGGAACACAAAAGAATGATGTGTTAGTATTGTAGAGAAAAAAATTTTAATTTTTGTTTTTTATTTTTTACCACGGAAAGGGAGAGAGAATGTTTAATTTCAACTTTTGTTTTTGTTTTCTATTTTTTTTTTATCAAAGAGAGAAAGTGGGTGGAAGTAAATATGAGTTGACTTTTAAGTATTTTTTAATTTTTTTAATTTTTAAGTTTTTAATGTTATGAATTTGATTATAAGTTCAAATTATTGTAATAAATTTTTTGATTAGATTTAATTTTTTGGGATTTTTTTATAGGGCTTAAAATTTAAAGAATTTAATTTTTTTAATGGACTAGTGATGTACCTAAAATTATGAACCCTTCTAAGAATTTAGACCCTAAAATTCATGCTTTTTTTTTTCCATGTTGTTGGGCCGGCCCCGTAGGTTATGGAGAGTTTTGGTTTCAACTAGTACTAAAATAGTAAGTTTATCCTGGCTGGGTTTTTACCTTAAAAGATGAATTATTCCATTTTTGAGGGGTAGATGTAGTATTATTCAAAACAAATGGTATTCAATATTAGAGTTAATGAAGTGAGCCTGTACACAAACAGCACTTTATATTCCACAATAAGAGAAGACATAATAACACCTTGAGGGGTACCCATCATGGGGCATCAACCCCACCTACCAATTGTCTCATTTTTCATGTCATGGAATTTCATAAATGTGGAGGGCATGCAGTGTCATTTGGCCAAAGTGGTTAATGTCCAGGGTTGATATATTGTCTTGCATGCAAGGGCACTTTTGTCAATGAAAATACAGCCATACAAGCAAGTATAGAGTTAACGACTTGGCGTGTAGGAGTTGTCTACTGAGTATAGATGAATTGGGATGTGAACACAATAGAAAGTTGGAAAAAGCAGAGATTTCTGCTGCTGAGTGGGAGCATACCTTTTTTACCCCTTAAATATATTAATATTTTTTATTTTTTTTAGTATTTATTAATATTTTTGATTATTTTTTGGGGTGGATGGGATGGAAAGGATAGAGATAATACCTTGTGCTAGCAGACATTTCTACCACCATATTCTTCTCATCTTGCTTTCACAGATTCTTGTTGCATAGTGTCCAGAAACAAGCCTTTTCTTCTTACCTGCTTTTTTCTCATTGTTGTTCATTTGTTACTGCTATCTTTAATCCTTCATGTAATATTATCTCACTGCCTAGTAGTCCTTCAGTTTGCTTGCTTGAGTTTGAAATGAGGGTCAAACTCAACACCCACATGATTGATTAGTTTCTTCATCTGTGATTTTAGGAATTTAAGGATACCTCCTATAAGGTAGATTTGCTTTCAGATCTTTTCTCTGGCTTCTTGTTTTGCTCAACTTAAGGCTCCTGGTGTTCCTGATTTGATTTCTACAAAGTTGTGAGAATCTTTGTTCGGCTGTTTTGGGCCATTTCTCCATCTGGGTTTTAGTTGGTAGCTAACATGATAAAACAAAAATTCTGTTCGGGAATTTTGAAGGTTTCTTGATTCTTATTTTTGGTGGGTATTTGGGGATATCTTATCTTACTCCAATCCTGGTTTTTCTAGCAGTCCAATTCTGAAGCAATTTGGGTGGATAAGATAGCATAATCTTTAGTTTCTTGCTTACTTTTTTGGTGGTCGGTAGGCTCTTCCCATTCATGCTTCCTCTTAGTTTTGTCTTTCAAGGTTGAATCTTTTTTTTTTTTAATTTAAGTTTTACTAGGACAGTTTCTGTAGATTTGACACTGGTGGGTTCCTTACAGTTCATTTTTTTCTTTTGATAAGTCAGAACCAGTTCAATTTGGCACTGTTTGAACTTAACTTTTCCTGGTTACTGGTGTGGATGAGTTTGCTCCATGTAATTCGATTTGGCTTGAAGGTGGGGCACGTAATTCTGATGCTATGTTGCTCGATTGTGTCTGTGATTTCCATGAATTGGTTCATTAATGGACTCATGGATGCCAAGACTGGTTTGCTTGGTGATGGTGGGAAGATACGGCTCAAATTGTGGGAGAAGATCTCAGTGAACAGTTACAAGATCCACCATCTTTACTACCAATATGTTTTGTCCAAGAGAGCAAGAAAACCCTGGTGGAAGACACTTCTGGTCACTTGGGTTGTTTTGGGGATCATAGTGTCTTTCTGGGTCTTCTTTTACATGAGCTCTCAGGCCATGGAAAAGAGGAAAGAGACCCTTGCAAGTATGTGTGATGAGAGGGCTAGGATGTTGCAGGATCAGTTTAACGTGAGCATGAACCATGTCCAGGCCATGTCCATTTTGATATCAACATTCCACCATGGCAAGAGCCCTTCTGCTATTGATCAGGTAATTTGGGATTTCTTTCAAATCTATGTAAATCAAGATTCATGAAGCATATGGACTTTCATAATTCATAACTTAGATGCCTTAATCTCATAAGGGTTTCTTGGTAGGGACACTGGCTTTGATGCTTTTAACTCTAGTGTTAGATCAGATTTGAGATATTATCCTCCTGAACTGGTTAATTCTGAGTCTGAATTCCTTAATTCTACTCGGTCTTCATATTGGGTACTCGATCATGCAGTTATCTGTTGGACCCTAAGTATATGGCTTGTTTGCCTTAACTTATTCTTTTATGGTTTTTTGTTTGTGCTTCATTTTTTTTTCTCGTCTGGGACAGAGACTTGTGAATTTTTTGGTTGAGAATGCAAGTTTCACTCCAGTTATATGGAATTACCGTTCAGAATGCCTGTAATTAGCTTAATTTCAAACCAGATCTGAGTTCTTTTTCTAGGATCTCTAATATATACTCAATAAAGCAATCTAACTTTCTGAACATATAGATGACTTTTGCGAGGTACACAGAAAGAACTGCTTTTGAGAGACCCCTCACAAGTGGCGTGGCATATGCTGTAAGGGTGCTCCACTCCGAGAGAGAACAATTTGAGAAGCAACAAGGGTGGACTATTAGGAGAATGGATACTCTCGAGCAAACCCCAGTTCATAAGGATGAGTATAATGCAGAAGCCTTGGAGCCATCCCCAGTTCAGGAGGAATATGCCCCTGTTATTTTCGCACAGGATACCATTGCTCATGTGGTCTCCCTTGATATGCTCTCAGGCAAGGTAAACTCTTTTTTTTAAGTCTTGCTGCACATGTCTTAAAATCATAACATCAGATGATTTCTAGGCTGTATTGGTAGGAGTTGCATTATTTTTATAATTGGACTGGATATTATTTGTTAAAAGCTGTACGTACAGCTAATTCTTGATGTTAAATTAAACATCCACTCTTGAAGAGGAAAAAAAGAAGAGAAATGAGAAAGGGGAAAATTTGATTTGGATTCATTATCTAAAATGTCAATCTTGATCAATTTGGGTTCCAACAGGAGGATCGTGAAAATGTGTTGCGTGCAAGAGCATCAGGGAAGGGGGTTCTCACTGCTCCTTTCAGGCTAATCAAGTCAAACCGCCTTGGAGTTATACTGACTTTTGCAGTCTACAAAACTGATCTTCCATCCAATGCAACTCCAGATGAGAGGATCCAAGCAACTGATGGGTACGTTGTCTGGCACAAATCAGACTTGATGTATGGAAGTAGTATATAGTGTTAAAACCTACAATTATTTCCCCTTCAGAGTGTAAGGGACTAATAGAAAAGGATTGGGCCCAAAATGTCTATCAACCAATGTATATTAATCAATTTCTATAGAAACAAAAAAATTTTTAGCGATCAAGTTGAGAAAAATATAGTTATCTATGTGAAAAAACACCCTAGGAAATGGCGATAAAATAAGTGATGATGGTAATTTGAAATTTCTAATCCATACTAGAGTGATACAATTGGATTGACTTAGAAACTATTTGCATGTTTCTTCTGTTGCCAAGCAGGTACCTTGGTGGAGTCTTTGATATTGAATCACTTGTGGAGAAATTGCTTCAACAGCTTGCAAGCAAACAAACCATCTTGGTGAATGTGTATGATACCACTAATGTGTCACACCCTATCAGCATGTATGGTTCAGATGTATCAGACATGGGGTTGCAGCGTGTTAGTGCCCTTAACTTCGGGGATCCATTCAGAAAGCATGAGATGCGTTGCAGGTGATTAATAGGTTCTTATCTGTCCTGCAACATTTTTTAAATTGAGCTCCGTATTGTGCAGGCTCTTCTAGATTGTGGGATTATGGATCACGTTTTGCCACACTAGATACAATCTAAGCAAGTTTACTTTCCTTACTGGAAAGGAAGGGTCATTACAGCAAGTTCACTTGGTTAGACAAATATGATTTGGCTGTGAGAGCGGGACCTGGCTAAAAAGAGAATCATGTATTTAAGAGGAGTTATTTCTCAATTGCAGCTTTGATTTTCAAATAAGTTGAAACGTATCTGCTAACCAGGTGTTATTCTTGACACAGATTCAAGCAAAAAACTCCCTGGCCATGGCTTGCAATAACAACCTCAATTGGTATCCTTGTGATTGTGTTTCTAGTTGGGCATATAATCCATGCAACAGTAAATCGAATTGCCAGAGTTGAGGATGAATGCAATGTGATGAAGGAGCTTAAAAAACGTGCTGAGGTGGCTGATGTTGCGAAATCACAGGTATTCAATGCATATAGCATATTTACCGAAAAAATTTCAGGCTGTACCTTCAATGTTTAAGTAGTTCTTATTGAATTTCAATATTCTGCAGTTTCTTGCCACGGTTTCTCATGAGATCAGGACCCCAATGAACGGTGTTCTAGGTAAGTCTTAGAATTGTTCTGTGCTCCCCTTCAGTGTTTCTTGCCTCTTCTTTGAGAATGAAAATTATTACAGCACAAATGTAAAGAATGGGGATTTATGACAACCTAAATATACATTTTTGTCCAGGGATGTTGGATATGCTCACGGACACTGATCTAGATGTAACTCAACTAGATTTTGTCAGAACTGCACAGGCCAGTGGAAAAGCTTTAGTTTCGATTATAAACGAAGTTTTGGACCAGGCAAAGATTGAATCTGGTAAACTTGAGCTGGAGGCAGTAGGGTTTGATCTGAGAGCAATTTTGGATGATGTTTTGTCGCTCTTTTCTGGAAAATCTCAAGATAAAGGAGTAGAGGTAACCTATGCGTTCATCTTTCATTGTTGCTGTCTTTGTTTTCTTGAGTGCTATAAATGTCATTTTTTTTATAACTCATAACTTGTCTAATTTGGTTTTCCCGATTTACCATGGAGACCAGTTGGCAGTTTACATCTCTGATAAGGTCCCTGGGATGCTGATTGGTGATCCAGGGAGATTTCGGCAGATTATGACAAACCTAATGGGCAACTCAATCAAAGTAAGTATGCTATAAGTTTTCATTAGTGAAGCGGGTCTTATGTATTTAATCGTGTTTTCTATCAGTTGAGAAAGAATAGCAGAATATAGTTTCTTGATGTATTTGGATATATCATTCGAGAAAGAAAAGGATGTGTGGTCAATTATGGGAATCTATTCGAAAAACCAATCTTGAATTTGAACAATGTGCCCTGATATAAGGTGTTAACACGATTGTGAAGCAAGTTAAATATGTTTGGAGAGATTTCATGTGGTGGACATTCTAGAAAGTATGTTCCTAAGCAATTTTACCTAAGCTGTGTTACATGTTTCTTGCAAAGTAGCAAAGAACTAATAATTTTTGAATGCTGCAGTTCACTGAGAAAGGACACATCTTCGTAACTATCCATCTTGTTGAGGAGGTGATGGACTCCTTAGAAGTTGAGACAGAATCTCTCTTAAAGAACACATTGAGTGGGTTGCCAGTGGCAGATAGATGCCAGAGCTGGGTAGGGTTCAGAACTTTCAGTCAAGAGGGACCGCCTTTTCCTTCCTCATCATCCTCATCTGATTTGATCAATCTAATAATATCAGTAGAGGACACAGGTGTAGGGATTCCTTTGGAAGCCCAACCTCGTGTATTCACTCCCTTCATGCAGGTTGACCCCTCCATTTCGCGAACGCATGGCGGCACAGGTATTGGGCTAAGCATAAGCAAGTGTTTAGTCAACCTCATGAACGGTGAAATTGGGTTTGTAAGCTTGCCAAAGATTGGGTCCACCTTTACTTTTACTGCTGTCTTCAGCAATGGCTGCTTGAATTCACACGAGCGCAAGAAGCAACAAATCATCAACCATTCTAACTCTGCTTCTTCAGAATTTAGGGGCATGAGAGCATTGGTTGTGGATCCCAGACTTGTCCGGGCCAAAGTGTCAAGATACCACATCCAGCGGCTTGGAATTTATGTTGAAATAGTTTCTGACTTGAATCTTGGGTTTTCTTACCTAAGCAATGGAGAGAAAGTCATCAACATGGTCCTGATTGAGCAGGAAGTTTGGGAAAAAGACATGAGCTCATCAGCTTGCTTTATGGATAATCTAAGGAAAATTGATCGCTGTGTTTCACCGAAACTGTTTCTACTAGCTAACTCTATCTGCTCTACCAGTAGTAGTGTCACAACTTCAGGTGTTTCTAGCCCTTTGATCATCATGAAGCCCCTGAGAGCAAGCATGCTGGCTGCATCCCTCCAACGAGCAATGGGCGTTGGAAACAAAGGGAACTACCGCAATGGAGAACTCCCCACTCTCTCTCTTCGCAGTCTTCTCCCTGGAAGAAAAATTCTAGTTATAGATGACAATAACGTGAACCTTAGAGTTGCTGCTGGTGCACTGAGGAAGTATGGTGCTGATGTGGTCTGTGCAGACAGTGCGAAAAAGGCAATCTCATCGCTACATCCTCCCCACCAATTCGATGCCTGTTTCATGGATATCCAGATGCCAGAAATGGATGGGTATGCATCATAAAATCAGTTTTACAGCTTATTCATTATATTTGTTAAGCAGTTGAATCTGCAGGCTGCCTTTTGCGTTATGGTGGCTATTTGCACCCATTAATTAATCATAGTTTTGTAGGATTAACATCTTCTTAGAGTGCATATGTGATTCTTAGGTCTATAAGTTTCACCTTTCAGCCGTGCACGACTTAGGGAGTGAATTTTTCCTATGTTTAAGATATGGGAAACCCACAAGAATCCTTTTTCACAGGTTTGAAGCTACAAAGAGAATTCGGGACCTGGAATACAGCATAAATAAGCGCATTCAAGAGGGAGAAATATCAATCGAAGCTTACAACAACATTTCAAGCTGGCATGTGCCCATTTTAGCTATGACTGCTGATGTGATTCAGGCCACACACGAAGAATGCCTCAAGTGTGGAATGGATGGATATGTTACAAAACCTTTTGAAGCTGAACAGCTTTATCGAGAGGTTTCGCGATTTTTCCGTATATCGAATCAGAACTTATAGACAAGTCCTGCGGTGAAGGCTTCTGATGACAAAAGCAGAAAGTGCCTGCTCTTTGAGGACTTGGGGAATATTTACATGGCTTCAGAATTTTTCCCAAGAGTGAGTTCACCATAAATCAAACCTTAAGTTTTTTGGTTAAGTTTTTCCCTTAAAAAGTTGTGTGCTGCTTAACTTTTAAACACTGCATAAATGTCAAGGTCTTTTTGTTAAGTCTTGAACATTACTATCTAGAATTTTGTCTCATGATCTAACAGTTGACTGACTTCCTGTTACATGCTTTATATTTTGCAGGAAACATTTTTGTTTCATTGACAAGAGTGTAAATACACGACATTTATTTGTGGGGGGATTCGTATATGTAGATTGCTTTGTCGGCCAGATAACAAAACCGATTCGTGTGACCATGTATTTCCAAGCTTTCAGCAGAGACTACATGTGCAAAAAAAAAATCCTGAGACCAGAAATGGAGAAGTCCTTTGCCTGATAGACTTGGGTGTATAGTAGAAGCTCTGGGGTTGCATGATCTTCCCCTGTAAGAATAAAGGTTGCAATTGCTTGAATTGATCTTGCACTTACTCTTTTTTCTTCCTCATCCTCAGGAAAAGTAGTGTACTGTAGAGATTGATCTTAGACGATAGTATGAAAGATAGCTTCTTCCCAACAAAGGGAAGAATGCCTCATGTATATGGTAGCCTCAATAAATACAATAGTTATGTAATCATACAAACATTTTTCTCACTGGTTTTGTTCTGTGATGGTACCAAAACTTGTGGTCAGTTAAAACTTGATGTAACTATTATGGTGTATAAACTTACCGAGTAATCTCATAATTTTTGTTAGGTTTGTACATTACTGAGGAATTCTATGCAACCTTTATTTCTAAATAGAAGCCTGTTTATCAGGGGATTGCATCCTTGTCTCAGGGGACCATCACAGTGGTTTGGGACTGAATGTTCGGGCAATCGCGTGAGAAGAATCTTATCCAGTTGGTGTCAACTTACTGCACCCAGAAAATTGAATCTGCTTTTTTATCGATTCTTTGCTCTGCTTGGCACTTTCTCTTGCCCAAGATTCTTTCCAAGTTACTTGGACAAAGTTCACTAGGGCCTGGAATCAACGAACCACTCATATAGTTATGTATGTCCAGCTTGATTCAGTTTTTAAAGAGGTCACAACAAGAACAGTTTAGCTCTTAGTTTGAAGCATGGTAACGCCTTGTAATAACAGCCCCCACCCGGCAGGTCGCATGCTTTTGTATAATGTCTGCATTACCAAAGTGAATTAATATGCAGGCAAGTGGATGTGGTCACTTTAGTTCAGCTGCTTGGTGGATAAGATTAAAATCTCGAGCTTTCTCGTAGATAAGGTTGTAGCATAGTCCTTTTTTGAACTCAGAAATAGCTTTTACTTTCTGCAAGATGAATGGCGCTGGACTTTAACAATGTTATCTATATGGTCTATAAAGGTTGTAGAACATAAAGCAATTGCACCCATTTGTTGCTGTGTATTTGTTCAAGTAAATCTTGTGCAATTTGCTCGTTTGCGATTGAAAAAATACCAATGAAACCCATGTTTGTTGGTTGTCGGCTAATTGCGGACTCAGCAATGATATTAGAACTTAATTTGACAAATTAAAAATTGCGACCCTTAAATTCACAGCCAATCACAACATTGAAAGAAGTTACAACTCATTAGGATCTTTAAATTGGTACAAGTAGCATTATTGTTGCTTATGAGAGAAAAAATCAGCTAGCACCCTAGGGAAAGTTCAGACACAAGAAATCTCGAAGAGCAATAAAATTTTAGCTTAGATAGGAACAGTTTTGCGTCAATCCTAATAATCAATTCCGTCTCACGTGACTCACTCTTGATTCAAAACCAAGAGATAAGATTGCAAATATTTTAAATATCAAATGACTCTAATCACAAGGTAAAGACTAACGCGCATGGAGAAGTGTTAAAACAAACTTTCACAGTTTCTCTTTACTAGACAAGTTGAATTTGTAACTTGCAATGAANAATATTTTAAATATCAAATGACTCTAATCACAAGGTAAAGACTAACGCGCATGGAGCAGTGTTAAAACAAACTTTAACAGTTTCTCTTTACTAGACAAGTTGAATTTGTAACTTGCAATGGAGTTACAACACAAGTTATATGGTTAAAGAATTTTATTCAAGACTTATAATTATTAATTTCATCTCTAGGTCACTAACAATTTATTGGAACATTAATGCAGATGTGTTTTTCTCAAAGAATAATAAAAATTCTAGTGGGTCTAAGCATATAAAAATTCAATGTCTTTCAATCAAGGACCTTATGAAAAAAAGTGGCATTGTGGTTGAACATATTGATATAAAATTAATGTTTGTTGATCCTTTAACCAAGAAAGTGAGACTTGTAATTTTTTAAAAATGTGTTGACAAAATAGGTATTTTTGGGTCTTTTGATGTGATTGGTTAGTGAAAGTTTACTTATGTGTTGAGAATTTTCATACTGATTTAATTTCATATGTAATATTTGTTATTTATTATGGTTGAAATACATCTATTCAATGAATAATAAAACTTTAGATGATCAAACTTTTTTTTTTTTTTGTCAATGGAGTATGTCTATAATTACATCCTAGAAAAAATCTTGAGATTTAAAGTTCGGAGACATAATAACTTATTGTTGAAACTAATGGATTTTTCTTGCTTATTTTTGAAACATGCTGTGAAAGACAAATCATTTGGAGTACTGACAATGAAAATAGTAAATTTATCATATCACATATTGAGATGTTATTTTCTTACTATACTATTATATCTTGATCAATGTCAATACGAATATTATTTTTTGTAACCATAGATTAGTCCTACGTCAATAAAAGATGTAAAAATCGTCATGGTTCAAAAACAATAATTTTACTGGATCGGGTTGTGTTTGAGATGTCTCAAGATCGTATTTTCAACAAATAATTTTATTTTATTTTTAAATAGCTACAATTAATGTTGCCCAAGTGGAGGAATGTTGAAATTTTTCATATTGAACTTCCATTAATTGATAGCTAATTTTAGATTTCTAAAAAACAAACTGAAATTATTATCCAATGATATGAACCTAATATTATTAAGTGATTTATTTTTATGAGTTTTTGTACATCTTTTTAATTGATGTAGTTGAGGGGATTAAGTGTAAATCTTAATTTAATTGTGACGCCTCTAAAACCGGGAGTCCTTTGTCAACCCGTTGATCACCCATCAACTTGTAGAAATACTCGTGAATGCCACATAACCCGACACCACATTACAATATCCCCTTCACCGAGATCATAACCAACACAGAGATTGGACAAAATCTTCCTTGTACCGACCACTCCCAAACACATAACCTGTGCACCATTCAATCACTTGACTATTTCAAGGTCTGATATACCTCAATTTATCCTTAATATTACTCCATTTACCTCCTTTGAGTAAAAGGACTCAAGGCCCGAAGGCTTAACATAAGAATTTTAATTTTCTAAAAATTGTAGGGGACTTACTGATAGATAATTGACGTTCTACCAGTAGAAGTGCCCACTGAAATTCTTCTACCGGTAGATACTTGATGTTCTACCGATAGAAGTGCCTAATGGAATTGTTTTACCGGTAGATAACCAATGTTCTATCGATAGAAATGCCCAATTTGCCCCCGATTCAATCCTTTTTTCCAATTTCAATTGATCCAATCACATACAACATGCACTCAGACTCATATAACATACAATTTTACACAAAACATAGTCCATTTGAGTTCGTTTTACAATCTTTTATACAATATTATATGTCCAAAACTAAATTACATATTTGTGTTACAAAAACGTAATTTAAAGCCACATCTCCGCTTTTCTTCACGAATGAGAGCCCAAGTGAGAGCCATACATCGGCCTTTGTCTCGCACTTGAAATATTGTCCGCATAAAGGGTGAGCCACGCTCACTAGGGTATCTCCTAAAGAGGCTACTCCCCAACCTAGATGCACATGAAATAATTATATGCAAATTTAACAATCAAACAAACAATCCATTTAAGACTATGCAATTCATAATGAAATTCTCTATGTCATGTCATGTTATGTGATGAGACTGACACATGCAATTCAACCCGAGCCTTCACCGACTCCCATAACACATGCAATGTTAGGCGTATGAATCTGGGCATTCTAAGACCCCGTCATTGATGTTGTACATCCAGTGACTATTTTATAAAATGAATCATGTGTCTTTCTTGGGTAGGTGATTTCCTGGAGTTGCACCAATGGTCCACCACACTAACACGAATTTTGGTATCCCACCTCTGGTTCTACATACACCAATATACTTTTTTAGACTTTCACCATCGGAAAGTGTATAAACTAATAACCGAGTCTTGCACCCGAGGGAGAGTCTACCCTTTCTTGCTATTTCCGACACAAGTTTTTCATGGAACCCTCGCAACTTGGCCAGACTTAGGTCCAACCTTTCCGAGTCCATGTCTCAACCACCAAGAGTGCTGTTTGATCCAAAAATATGCACACACCTACACCCATGTCACATGTCCATGAATGTGATATTTTTTCTTGCATATGCAATGTAATGTACAATTGCATTTTATATCATTATGCAACTAAAATTTCAATTGCAATTACAACATCATGTTCAACATGTCATGAGCACAATATGAACAACTTCAATATCCATCAACATTTTTCATGATCATTTACATCATAAGCATATAACCACCATCAACAACCTCACCAAAGCATATTATAACATCGTCAATGCAATTAATGCACTTAATCAACATAGGCATTTCATAAAACACCTCCAAGGCATAATTATAGCACATAGCATGTCTCTTTCACCACATATCTCAAGAAATCGCAAACAGATAATTTCAACAAACCTCATTCATACTAGAATTGATTTTAACTATTATTATACCCATTTTTCACATTTCAACTACCATAGGTATGTGTCATACATGATATTACATCTCTAACAGCCTACCCATTTCATATTTCAATCCTAGGTTGGAAATAGACCTAATTAGGAAAGGAATCCTACCTCTTGAAGCGTAAGTTGAGCAGTAGAAAACTCCCAAGAATCCAAATCAAGCTTTAACCCTTGATTTCCAAAAATATTATCTTTGAGACTTCGGTGAAATTCATATTTCAAATACCATAACCCTCGTCGAGTAGATGAACTTTGGTTCTTGGCCTGAAGGATTTCGACTAAGGGTTGACCCTAAATTGCAAGTAGAAAGCTTGAAGAAACCCTTACTTTCTCTTTCTCTTCTTCCCTCTCTCCAACGAAATTCAGCTAGGAATTGGGGAGGAAAATCTAATTTTTCTCCCCTATTTATACCCCTTAGATACTTGGCCCTCATTGCGCCACACGCCTGCTTTTTTTGGATCCGATTTTGTTTTAAATTAATTAAATATCATCATGTTTCAAGTTCAATATATTTTTATTTGAACTAAGTTTAAATTATTTTTTACTTTTCACAATTAATTCCCGATCGCATTTATTTTGGTCACGTGACACCTGATTGCCTTGTAAAGCACAAAAAATTCGACTATCTTGTAATTTAACGAAAATTGAATGGGTAGTTAGATTTTGTGGGACAAATCCAATGGTGAGGTTCATTTCGTCATCCGAGTTCTAAAAAATTTTAGATTTTTCAACCCGTACCATAGCGATTAATTACCGTTTTGCCATTTTTTATAAAAAAAATCAAATTTTTTCAAGTTTTACACTAATTATGGCCAATAATAGAAGAGCTTATTAGATTCATTATAAATAGATAGATTAATTCATCTCTCCATTTCATAACTTAATTTTGTTTGTCCCATTGATAATTGTCTATTGTTTTGAAGAAGGAGATGAAGACTTTGCTCTTCTGCAAAAAAAACTCGAAAATCGAATATAATGGCTCGCACATACATGATCTAAACATTGTAATTTAGGTGTTCTACAAATCATATATGAATTATTAAACATTCTTACATGTATCTATTTGATTGAGTAAAGGAATTAAGACCCCTCATATCAAAGGAGTCTCAACCTCCTTATTAGCATATGGGGAACTCGAAGACTCCTAGTATTAAAGGATTCTTGCCTCCTCAAAAGACTAGTCTAGGAGCCTAGACTCATTTTACAGAAAGAGTCTCACCTTTCAACAACTGATAAGAGAATCTAGAGTTCACTTCTCAAGGGAAACTAATCCCTAAATTGTAAAAGAGCTTGAAAAAAATAGAAAATTTGTGTAACTCTTATTCCAAAAGTAAGTCACCCGTATCTTCTTCACCAAGATACTGACTCAAGTATATGAAGGTCAATCTCCAAAGTTCCCCCTCCGGCCTTTGACTTCTTTTTTAGGTGACTAGAGTTCTGATAATGTACGTAAACCCCTGGAGAGTTGAGGTGGAGGTCAATAGAGATCCAACAAAATTACATGGAAGTTGATGCAAACTTTGCATCAATT